CTAAACATTGCGTTCTGCGCATCTTGTATTATCTATTATCTTTGGGGGCACCCTAATATGAATAACACAAAGTCTTTGGACTTAATATGAATAGGATATATTATTATAATACCACGTGACCGTTCATTTGTATTTCTTTTTCATTTCGTATTTGTGTCGCCGCACTTCAAGAGTTATTCTTTTTTTTGTAATAGGAAACCGGTTTAACGGCAAATACTTCGTAGCAAACACTTTTATGGCAACGGGGAAAAGGTAAATAATGGTGTTTGTGTCTTGTGCTCGCTAAGAACATTATAAGAGGACCGTCTTTTTATCTTTTGATCTATCATGTTATTAGTTTGTTACATATAAATAAATCACAAACTGACACAGTTATCACATCGACTTAATATCTGTATAACAACGAAGAAAAAAATGAGAATCCAAAACAGTTTATTAGTAAATCGAAGCACCCAATAATGTAAATACGATTTAATATATTGTATATTATATGGCCAATACCCACATTATCTTCAAAGGAATATAACGTCTAATTTCTATCAGCTGATGTGTGAAACGCATTTTTTATGTTATCATGATAGTTAGAAAAAATATAACTTTAAACATTGATTTTTCATACGAGCAAATTCTTAATTGTTCCAATACATAAGACGAGTTTTGTTTGAACGTTTTCAAATAAAGGTGTGGTTCTTGTAATTATAAACGGTCTTAATAAATTGTTTGGAAGAATATATAAATATTTTTTATTAATATATTTTTATACAGCAATTTATCTATAAAAATAAAGTGTCTAAAAATAAAGTTGGAAGATAAGTATGGTTTTTTTTCTAAATCCTATTAAGACTTTATTGAATTGGCGTCAATGCATTTATACAATACATAAATAAACATTATAGGTTAATATATATATAAACACTAAATAAAGTCATCAAAATATTAAACTCTCAAATAAAAGTAAACTAACAAAAACAAAGGTAAAATGAATTGGATATTAAAATAACATGCTTTGGAATTAATAGGAGTGTTTTAATTTAAAACTGGACTTTTTTGTAGAGTCATATTAAAAACTTAAGATGGTGAGAGGTCCTCTCGGAACACAGGAGGGGAAATACCGAACGATGCCACTCGCAAATCTCCAGCTGAACCCTCTGGAGTCCTGATGGAGAAATATGTTATAAAAAGCTGCGTCTTTTTTAATTCTAGGATAGTATTATTATTATTGTTGATGATAAAGCTGTGAGAATATACATCTTCTCAGTCATTCTCATGACTCTCGGTGTCTCCAGTCGGTTTTATTCCTATTTTTATACTTAGTTGAGTTCCCTCCACTCCATGTTTAAAAAATATATTACATTGTATGTTTGCTGTTAAGCATGCAACTATATATATAGTATACACAGACATATAGAAACCAGAACATGATGAACACACTGTCTTGTTTGTTAATAAAAACGCGTGTTTTTTTATATGTATTTATATATAACATACATAGGGCAGGAGTTCTTACCGGAAGGAATCTGGGGCGGATGTATGTCCATGTGAGTAAGGTGTTGGATCATAGGAAGAGCATTATTTAGTTATATATATATATATATATATATATATATATATATATATATGTATATATATAGGGTAACAAACCTCCGGGGGTTATATACCGGAATGTATGTACACAATGGATTTCCCATCTATGACTTACTTACTTCAATGACGTCACAGTAGAGGGACTATATAAAATGGCAACTTATTGGAGCATAAACAAAGAACCAACATAATACGATGCTCCTTCGTTGTCTGTTTTTAAAATACCCTGTTTTGTCAAGATTACTCAAGTAACGAACCGATAGCTGAACTGATCAGTACGTCCATCTACATCACGGAACCTCGCAACAATGCCCAATTTTCTTCTTTATCAATTTAAGAAACAAAAAAGGACCAAAAATATCCAATTGTCGAATATATATATATATAAATATATATATATATAGATATATATATACATAGGTGTAGGGGAGATGTTTGGTTGGTCAGCATTCAATTTGCCTGAATTTAAACAAGGACTGTTAAATCGGTGAAAACTTAATGGAATAAAGAAAGCTATGTAGATTATTATTTTCTTTATAATATTTACATACTATTCATTACATTATATTTATTTCGTTATAATTCAAAATCCGGTTGCTTCCAGAATTACATATATTTTTCCTACTTAAATGCCCGAATACCTCACCAATTTGCCCGACTTTGAGAACTCACCCAAATTTTGGGGGGGGGGCAGTTGCCCTCCTTGCCCCTGTCTCCTACGCTATGTATATATATATATATATATATTGTTTAATTGTATGTATAACTCTATACATTATAAGATCTTTTAAATATATATATTATTGATGACGTCACCTGAATGTGTAGTTCTTTTATCCTCTTAACTCTTATAATTGAGGTCCATCGTATGGTTTGTATA